GGGGGGGTCCCCGGGGCGGGGTTGGGGGGGACTCCGGGCAAGGGCAGGGTCCCCCGGGCAGGGGGGGTCTGGGGCAGGGCCGGGGGGGTTGGGCTCAGGACCAGGAGTTGGCCTCACCAGCTGCTTCTCACCACAGCCCCACCAGCTCGTCCCCCTTCTGCCGTGGCGCTGCCTCTTCTCTCTCTCTCTTCTATAACAACGGGGCTCAGCCTTGCGGCTGTCACGAAATGGGTGCCACAGGCCCCACGTGTGAGCCCTTTGGGGGCCAGTGTCCCTGCCGGGCCCACGTCATCGGCCGTGTGTGCTCCCGCTGTGCCACTGGCTACTGGGGCTTCCCCAGCTGCAGGCGTGAGTACTTGAGCCCACGGGAGTACCAGCCAGGGGGTGGTACCTGATCCCCAGGGGGCTTCCCGGCGGCAGGAAGCATGGCTACTGCGGCCAGGAGGAAGTTCCAGGGCTTGGCAGACCCACCCTGCCGGCCCCTGTCTGCAGGCCCTCGGGCAGCTGGTGGCCCAGGCCTTGCAGGGCGTCACACGCCAGGGACCGGACGGCATTTCTGGGCAACTGAGCCCACATCAGAGGAGCTGCCTGAGGCTTGGGGCCTGGAGCTGGGTGAAACTGCGCCGGGGTGGGGGCGGGTGCGTCCCCCGGGCTGCAGCCAGGGCCTCTGATGGGGCACAGGGCTTCATCCCCCTCCGTGCACGCTCCCCGCAGCCTGCGAGTGCCGAGGCCGTCTGTGTGACGAGCTCACGGGCCGATGTGTCTGCCCGCCACGCACCATCCCTCCAGATTGCGTGGTCTGCCAGCCCCAGAGCTTCGGCTGCCACCCCCTGGTGGGCTGTGAGGAGTGTAACTGCTCGGGGCCTGGTGTCCAGGAGCTCACCGACCCCACCTGTGATGTGGACAGTGGCCAGTGCAAGTGAGCTGGGCAGCGGGGCTGTCCCCGTGGCCCTGGGCTGGCCCTGAGTCAGGGGCGCCATGGCCCCCGAGAGCACTCTGTCCAGTTCGGGGGGTGGGGCTGGGGGAGGGGTACGTCTTGGGGGTCCACCGCCTCGGGGGGGGGCCCTGCAGTCTCAGTTCAAATTGAGGGGCCGGGGTGGAGGGGAGGCCCGGCAGCCACTGACCTCCCTCCGGCAGGTGCAGAGCCAATGTGACCGGGCGCCGCTGTGACTCCTGCGCTCCTGGCTTCCATGGCTACCCCAGCTGCCGCCCCTGCGACTGCCATGAGGCAGGCTCCATGCCCAGCATGTGTGACCCCCTCACAGGCCAGTGCCACTGCAAGGTGAGAGGTCAGCGGGCCCCCCACCTCCACGCCGCCTCAGCCGCCGGAAGCCTCTGGGGACCCCTGGGGCTTCCTGGACGCTTTGGGGAGGGTCAGCCCATGGGGAGGGGGTGACAACGAGCCAGGGTGGGTCGGGCCCTGCAGCGCACGGCCAACTGACCCGTCCTACCCTCCCGCCCCCAGGAGAACGTGCAGGGCCCTCGGTGTGACCAGTGCCGCCTTGGGACCTTCTCCCTTGAAGCCACCAACCCAAAGGGCTGCACCCGCTGCTTCTGCTTCGGGGCCACCGAGCGCTGCAGGGGCTCGGCCCACGCCCGCCGTGAGGTGTGCGGGCAGTGGGACCCAGACCGAGGGCAGCGCCCCCTCAGGGAGGGGACACGTTACCCTGTCAGCGTGCCCTGGGCGTTCACGTCGGTGCTCCTCCCGTGTGCCTGCAGCACGTGGACATGGAGGGCTGGACGCTGCTGAGCAGCGACCGGCAGGTGGTTCCTCACGAGCTGCGGGCAGAGGCAGAACTGCTCTACGCGGACCTGCGGCGCGGCTTCGAGGCCTTCCCTGAGCTGTACTGGCAGGCCCCACCCTCCTACCTGGGGGACAGGGTGAGCCGGCCAGGCGGGCCCTGGGGCGGGCACTGTGAAGTGTCCAGGCCCCCCTGGAGGTGGAGGGAAGACGACAACAAGGCTGCCTGTCCAGGGAGGGATGGGGACTCTGTGAGGGTGCCCAGGCCTAGCCCGGCCCCCAGCCCAGGGATGCCCAAGACCATTGCTGTCGACTCTGGGCCCATGATCAGGGTCTGGCCGGGTCACAACCTTCTGCCCTGCCGCCAGGTGTCATCCTATGGTGGGACCCTCCGCTACGAACTTCACTCGGAGGCCCAGCGTGGAGACGTGTTCATCCCCACAGAAAGCAGGCCGGACGTGGTGCTGCAGGTGGCCGACGGCGTGGATGTGGCTGGGTGGGCAGGTGGGCTCAGCCAGGCAGGACGGCGGGCAGCCCGGCTGCCAGCCCTCATCTGCCCACACACCTCCCCAGGGCAACCAGATGAGCATCACGTTCCTGGAGCCAATGTACCCGGCGCCCGGCCACGTTCACCACGGACGACTGCAGCTGGTGGAGGTGAGCGGAGCTGGCCTGGGCACCCAGGTCCCTCTGGGAGCCCGGCACAGCCCAGGGGGGCCAAAGGGGCCGAAGGCTGCCGTGCCTGCCCTCTAGGACGGAAAACGGGGCCTAGGAGCGCTCCTGGCCACGTGCTGGCCCGCGGAGCCCTGACCCTGGATGCGTGAGCAGCTGCTTGGGTGCTCACGGCCCTGCAGTTCCCTCCGTGAGCTGTCTTGTGCTTGCCGCTCGCTTGTGGCCTTTCCTTACCTTTTTAGAGAAGTTGTGTGTAGTTCCTGCCGCCTCCCCTCCCCGTGTCCGCCTTGGGAGCCGCGGTTCTTCTCCCAGCTCGTAGTCTTGGTCTTTCCCTAAAGTGTCTTTTGATGAACAGCAATTCAGGTGTTTACTCAAATTTATCAATCTTTCACATGCGGTTGGTGTTTTTGTTTTATTGAAGGAAGTATTTGTCTCTCCGAGATTAGAAAGTACACACCTGTGCTTTGTTCCAAAAGCTTAAAGCATCTTCTGTGTGTGTTTGAATTCCTAATGCGTCTGGAGTTGGTTTCGTGCCGGGTGTGAGGGAGGGGCCCAGGCGTGGGACTCCCCGCGGGCGGTGGGCTGTTCTAGCCCCCGAGGCACCCCGCCCCCACCCTGAGCACCTCCGCGGCCCGCAGGGGACCTTCCGGCACACGGAGACGCACAACGCCGTGTCCCGCGAGGAGCTCATGATGGTGCTGGCGAGTCTGGAGCGGCTGCACATCCACGCCCTGTTCTCCCAGACCTCCTCGGCCGTCTCCCTGCGCAGCGTGGGGCTGGAGGTGGCCGGCGAGGTGGGCGGGGGGCCTCCGGCCAGCAACGTGGAGCTGTGTATGTGCCCGGCCAACTACCGTGGAGATTCGTGCCAGGTGAGGTGGTGGGGGTGGGCACCCCCCGCTCTGTCTCCCCGGTTCCTCCCTCACCCGCTGGGCACCGTCCTCCCGCAGCCCTGCCTGCCCGCCACGGGCTGGGCCAGCCCGCTGGCTTATCTGTCTGCCCCTGCACTGTCACCTGTGTCCCTGCCTGGCCCCCCGTGCACCCAGCTGCTCTGTGTTCCTTCACCGCCCGGTCCAGCCAGGCATCAGCCGCCTACCCACACCCTGCCTTCCCTCCGGGTCTCACATTCGTGCACTTGCTTGTTCATCTGAGGGGTTTTGTGACTGAACGCCCACCCGCTCAGAAGAGGTGTCTGGGGGACAAAGAGGCGACCCTGGCCCACATGGGGGGGGCTGTCACCTGAGCCAGGGCATCTGCATGGCTTTGGGGGCTCTGACTTTGTGTGTCTAGCCGGTCAGGGCCAGCACCTCTGAGGGTCTGAGAGCATGGTCCTTCACCGGCGCCTCGGGCTGGCCTTGCTTCCTTCCTGACGACGGGTGCCTCTGCCCCAGGAATGTGCCCCTGGCTACTACCGGGACATCAAAGGTCTCTTCTTGGGTCGCTGTGTCCCCTGTCAGTGCCATGGCCACTCAGACCGCTGCCTCCCTGGCTCGGGCGTCTGCATGGTGAGCAGGGCAGACACCCCAGACACAGACTAGGGAAGACAGGGAAGACCAGGGGCCTTTGGGCCAGTAGTACGGATACGCTGGGGTCCCGGGGGAAGGTCGGTGTCCTGGGCGGGGCACTGGCTGGCCTTGGGCATAGAGTCCCTGGCACGGTTGGGGTGAGAGCTAATGGGAAACAGAGCCTCCACCATCAGTGCTGACCCGTCCCTTCTGCCCCAGGGCTGCCAGCACAACACTGAAGGTGACCACTGTGAGCACTGCCAGGCTGGCTTCGTGCGCAGTGGGTCTGAGGACCCGATGGCCCCCTGTGTCAGCTGCCCCTGCCCCCTCGCAGTGCCTTCCAACAAGTAAGCTGGGCCAGCCCCCCCAGGTCAGATGCCCTTACAGCCCCGGTAGGGAAGGTCATCATCTCCTACCCGGTTGGGCCAGCACTGCCCTCTGGAGGCCAGAGCAGCTGGGGTGGGCTGGCCAGGTGGGGACCGCGGGCGGCGTGCAGCTGTCAGAGAAGCCCCTCGGTGTCTGCAGCTTTGCGGTGGGCTGCGTCCTGCGAGGAGCCCGCACACAGTGTCTCTGCAAACCCGGCTACGCGGGTGCCTCCTGCGAGCGGTGAGCGGGGGGC